CCCGCGGCCTTGGTGCTATCAGCACCGCACTCTACCGAGTGAGCCACAGGCCGGCCCGAGAAAATAACAAGTTTTGACAAAGATGTGGAATAATTGGAATCCTTGAGAACTGTTAATGGGAATGTAAAATGGGACCACCACTGTGGAAAACAGTATGGCGCTGGCGCTCCTCAAAAAAATTAAAAATAGAATTACCATATCATTCAACAATTCCACTTCTGGGTATATACCCCAAAGAAATGAAAACAGTCCATCCTAACAAGTTCCAAGTGACACTGATGATGAAAGTCCAAAGGATCAAAATCCCAAAATCAGGGTTTTATGAAAGGGAGCCTGCCTGGTTCCCACACCCAGTCCATCACAGTGTAGATTTGCAGGGTCCAAGAATCAAATCTAAGGTTTATCAACCACATTCCATGAATATCTCTGCAGTTAGCAAATCAGGTAAACGGCCTACTAGGCTGGAGTCCCACACCCTCCTCTTCGGAATTCTGCTGAAGAATTCTATCAGTGCTCCACCCACTGAGGATGCCTAGCCATCTGCTTCTTCTGCCTGTAAGTAATTCAAAATATACACTTGGTTCATTCCTCACCTCCTTCAAGTGTTTGCTCAATGGCCCTCTTAACTAAATAGGCTTGTCTTACTGCTCTCTGTAACATGAAGTCCCATCTCCCTACTTCTCAGCACACTCACCTCCCTCCTTTTCACTATGCCTACCACATTCTAACGTATTATATAATATAGTATTTCTTTTTTTATGACTCCTCTCTGTCTTCCTTGAAGAAGATGTAAGTACCCTGAGGGCAGGGATCTTTTCTCTCTTGTGTGCCAATATCTCCCATGTAACTACAATAGTCCTAAAACTATTTGCTCACTGAACTTTTGTTAAAGCAATGAATAAATATGAAACCTCAGCTTCCTTGTTTATTTGTAACATCGTGGCTATTTTAAATNAACTCAAATGGATTAAAGACCTAAATATTCATACACAAAATTGTAAAACTCTTAGAAGAAAATATAGGGCAAAAGTTTCATGAGCTTGAATTTGGCTATGATTTCTTGGATATCACATCAAATGCACATACAATAAAGAAAAAATAGACCAATTTAACTTTATAAAATTTTAAAACTTTAGTTCATCAAAAGACACTATAACCAGAAAATTTTACAAATAGTATATAGGATAAGGAATTACTATCTGGAAGATATAGAGTATTTCTAAAACTCAACAACAAAAACAAACAACCTAATAAAAAATGATGAAGGTCTTGAATAGAAATTTTCCAAAGAATATATAAGAATGTCCAATAAGCACATGAAAAGTTCTCATCATCAGTAATCATTAGGGAAATGAAAATCACAACCACAATGTGATTATCACCTTGTACCCATTAGGATGGCTGGTATTAAAAGACAAACACACACATATGCCCAGAAAATAACAAGTTTTTTTTTTTTTTAAAAGATGACCGGTAAGGGGATCTCAACCCTTGGCTTGGTGCTGTCA